TCTGACGACGAGCCGAGTCCCTGAGAGACCACTCATGGGCTCCAAAGGACCTGCTCAAAGCATCGGCCAGCAGGTTTTTGCACCCCGGCAGGTACTCTGCCTGCAAAACTATGTTGTGCTCTACACACAGGTCCCAGAGGCACAGAGACTCGCGACAGAGGGGAGGCGACCAGGCTCCCCCTGCCTGCTGAGGTAAAAAACAGCCACCGTGTTATCCATGTGGACCAGGATAGAACAGTGAGAGAGCTTCGACAGGAAGGTCTTGCACGCTCTCCTGACTGCCCTGAGCTCCCAGACATTTATGTGCAGAGCCCGCTCTTCAGGGGACGAGACACCCTGGGTCCTGTGACACCCCAGGTGTGCTCCCCAACCCAGGTCTGAGGCATCTGTGACCAGTGTAAGCAAGGGGGGAGGTACGGTGAAGGGAACCCAGCTGCACACCACCTCCTCCTGAGTCCACCATTGTAAGGAGGCTATCACCTCCGGAGGCACTGTGAGAACCGTGGACTGATTGAATGCCTTTGCCAACCAGGTCTGCAGAGGCCTGAGCCTCATTCGAGCATGGCGTACCACAAACGTACACACCGCCATGTGACCCAGCAGCCTCGAGCAGACCCAAGTGGTCGTGATAGGGAACCGAGTTAATTCGGAGACCAGCTCCACTATGGACAGGAACCTGGTTCTGGGGAGAAGTGCCCTCGCCACCCTGGTGTCCAGGAGGGCACGTACGAATTCAAAGTGCCGAGAGGGAGTCAACAATGACTTTTCCTCATTTAGCATGAGTCCCAGCCTTACGAAGAGGGCCCTTGTGAGGGACACATGGGCCTCAACTTGTTCGTAGGAACGACCGTGAATTAGCCAGTCGTCCAGGTACGGAAACACATGTACCCCTTTTTTGCGGAGGAACGCCGCTACAACTGCCATGCATTTTGTAAAGACCCTTGGTGCTGTTGAAAGGCCAAATGGGAGCACTGTAAATTGAAAGTGGCATCGGGAAACAATAAAACGGAGAAACCTCCTGTGGCTGGGTCTTATTGCCACATGGAAGTAAGCATCCTTGAGATCGAGAGTTGCGTACCAGTCTCCTAACTGGAGAACCGAAATGACAGAAGCCAGGGTTACCATTCTGAACTTGGATTTCACGACTGCCTTGTTGAGGTCCCTGAGATCTAAGATGGGACGAACCCCACCCTTGGGTTTCGGGACAATGAAATATCGGGAGTAAAACCCCTTGCCCTCCCGATGTAAAAGGAGCCTCTCCACAGCTCCCTTTAGGAGGAGTGCCAGCACCTCCTGGCGGCGGGTGTCTTTGTGAGAGGTCCCTGAAGAGGGACGGGATGGGCGGGTTGGAAGGGGGCGAGCCCAGAAAAGGGATGGTATGGCCACTCCTGACTATCCTTAGGACCCAGGCATCGGTCGTGATTTCTGCCCAGACCTGAGCAAACCGGGATAACCTGGCCCCAAACGGGGTGCCAGGGTGGGAGGCTGGTGCGCGACTCTCTAGCGGCCCGTCAAAATTGGTGCTTGTGCTGCTGGGAGGGACCTTGACCAACCCCACGGGGGTTGTCCCCTCTCGGGCAATGTCGACGACCCCTTGAGGACGAGGGGCCCGCAGCCGCCCCTGCACCCCCACTAGGAGCACGAGGACGGCGTCTCCAGTAATCCCCACGGGGGACCTGGGACTGCGGTCTCCCCTGCTGTCTGTAGGGCAGCTGACGATGCTGAGGAGCCAGCGTGTGGATCCCCAAGGACCGGAGAATAGATCTCGTGTCCTTGAGCGTATGGAGCCTCGAGTCCGTATGCTCCGAGAATAACGCCTTGCCGTCAAAAGGCAGATCCTGAATAGTAGTCTGGACATCAGGAGGTATTCCAGACACCTGCACCCAGGCACCACGGCGCATAACCACACCTGATGCCATGGTGCGGGCTGCAGAGTCGACAGCGTCCAGGGAAACCTGGAGGGCCATGCGTGCGATGTTTTTACCCTCAGAGGTCATGGCCGCAAACTCCTGACGGGTCTCGACAGGCAGCCTGTCCTTAAACTTATCCACGGCCTGCCAGGTATTAAAAGCATAACGACTCAGCATCACTTGCTGATTAGCAATGCGGAGTTGCACCTCACTGGTGGCATACACGTTACGGCCTATCAGGTCAAGACGCTTGGGCTCCCCAGCTTTTAGGGACAGCCCCGGCTGGGGATGTTTCTCCCTTTGGGCCGCAGCCTTAACAACCAACGACCCGGGGACAGGTTGGGAGTACAGGTGTTCGTGCCCCAACTGGGGAATGTAATAGCGCCTCTCGACTCCTTTTAAGGCATTGGTAATTTTGGCCACGGTCTTATTAAGTGGCAAAGCCAAATGGGCGGGCGCATCCTCCGAGAGGATGTCAATCATGGGATCCGTGTCCTCCACTACTGGCTCCACAGGGACATCCAGATTGGAGGCCAGACACCTAAGCAGCTCCTGATGCGCTCGGGCATCCATAGTAGGCAGTGCCGGTGCAGGATCTGCCAAGGCTTCATCAGGAGATGATGACGACGACGACTCCTGGATCGGTGCCGGGACTGGCGTAGGAACCAGTTGAGGCGCTGGTTGGGCAGGTGGTACCGCTTGCGGAAGTGGCTCCGGTACCGAGGCCTGTGGCTCAGCCGCGGCATCCGAGGCAAGCGACCTCTGGGGGGAAGGAGGGAATCACGACAGCGATGCCGATGGTTGTGTTCGGCGGCCTGGGGCTCCTGACACCACAGAGGAGGGCACAGGCTCCTGCCACTGGTGGTAAGCCCACGGTGTCCAGAAAGGCAACTGCGGTTGAGGTGGCCAAGTCTGCTGCACCCGCAAACGATCACATCAGTGCCGGGAATGAGATCTATGAGCTGAGGAAGCTCCCAAGGACTCCGATCTGAACGATGCCGCATCAGAATCTGACGAGTAGTCGGACTCCGGCCAAGGAGGAGCAGATGACGAATGTCCTGTCACCAAAGGAGGAGCAAACTGGCCATGGACTCGGGTTTGCCCGCGTGTGCCCGATGAGGGCATGCCGGCACCGGGAAGACCGGTCCTGGTGCCGTTAACGGTGCCTGTTGCGGTACCGGGATCCCCGATACTGATGCCGGGGGGGTGGAGTAAGTGCCGGAGGGACAAGCCCCAGTGCCCGGGATGGAGTCGGTTGTGGCACCGGGAGGACCGGTCCCGGTACCGAAGCTGGTTGTGGTGCCAACACGGAGCAAGGCTGCGGTGCCGAAGCCGGTACCGGTTGCAAGACGAACCCCAAAGAAGCTGATGTCACTGTCGATGGCGGTACTGGCAAGGTCCATAAGGTCAATGCCAGTGCCTGCGATGGTGCCAACGAGTGCATCGGTGCTGAAGAAGCTGATGCTGAAGGGCCCGGTGCCGACGGCTGGAACGGCACCGCTGGAAAGCTGCTCATCGCCGGCGTCGAGGATGACGGTGCCGTAGACATTGCCACATGGCTAGAGTGGTATGGCACCGGTGCAGCCAAGATGGGGTCTGGGAGAGGTCCCAGCACAGAGGATGGTCGGGCCCAGTCGGGCGCCGGGTGAAGCCTGGCGGCCTGCGTCGAGACTGGCACCGATGAGGAAGCAAGCGGTACTGGTCCCACCGGGGACGGTCACACTGCAAAAGTGGCCAGAGGCGTCCGGGTCATGCTGGTGCGGAGGCGAAGCCGGAGCCAGCACGGCCTCCGGCGTAGGCGACCTCGACCCTTCCACCTCAACCGATGACGGAAGGAAGGTAGTGAGACTAATGAGGTTTTGCGCCGCCTCAAAGGTGTCCGGCATGGAAGGGTGGTGCAAGGGTAATTGCCCTGGACTAAACGGACGTCCCGCTTGCTTACGCCACACTGTGAAGGATGATGACTTGTGCACTGGTGACTCGGCACCGTGATGTAGGCCTGACTTGGATACTCAGCTCGGAGACCTACCACGAGACGTTCTTGACCTCCTCGGTGCCGGAGAGCGAGACCGGTGCCAGGCCCTCGATGCTGAGGCCCGGCCTTGGGATGGACCATCCTACGTGGACGCCGGTGCACTGTGCACCGCACAGTGTAAAGCTGTAAAGCTGTAAAGCTGCCTCCATGAGGAGAAGTTTTAGACGAGAGTCTCTCTCCCTCTTAGTGCGTGGCTTAAAAGACTTGCAGATCTTACAGGTGTCCGTAAGATGGCCCTCAACCAGATACTTCAGACAACTGTCGTGAGGGTCTCCTTTGGGCATGAACTTTGTGCAGACAGCGCACACCTTAAAGCCTTGCGGCCCTGGCATTCCTCACCCCTGAAGGGGGAGAAGGAAAACAAAAAGACACTAACTATCTAAGTGAACTATTTAGAACTATCTACAATACTAAGAGAAATGGGAACCATTAACTGATCTAAGAGAAAGACACACTCCAACAACCGTCACAGGCGGTAAGAAGGAACTGAGGTGGGGCAGCTTCTCCTCATGGAGGCAGGGGTATTTATGCCCTGCCATGGTGGCGCCACTCCAGGGGGCGCCCTGCCAGCGCTACGGGTACCGCTAGGGAAAACACTCTGGAAGACGCGATGCACGTGGTGCGCACACCTAATTTGAATGGACAAGAGCAACCACTCGAAGAAGTATGTTTATTTACATATATATTTTAATCCCTAAACAGGATAATAATTTATACTCAGCATTTTATAGCTTCTTTCACCCACGTAATTCAGAATGCTGTATAAATGGGATTAATAACTCTCACAACAGCTCAATGGAGAACATTTACCATTTTTTACAAACGTCTCAAAAAACCTAAATGATTTGATCAAAATTAGCGTCAGAGCTAAGAACAAGGAATCAGGAGTCCTGTTAGTTTGCCTACTCTCGCTTTCATACTACATTTCACTTAAAAGCAATTAAGTTAGTGTGGTTTGCAAGTACTGCCCACACTCTCCCAGCATATATCTGATGAATGTTCAACAAAGTTATTTAATTCTGATTATAAAGTGGTCATCAGTATCTAAAATGTACCTTTGTCATGGTGATGCCAACCTCCTGCATAATAATCTTGCAATACTTGTGGTGGGTTCCAGGTATCCAGAATATAGTCCACCTGGTGCTGTTTACGCCATGTTAGTGATTGGCAAAGGATCTCTCTGGCTTTGTCAATATTGAAGTCCCGGGCACGCAAGAATCGTAAAATGTGTTCATCTTTTGGGATCTATGGGAAAACAATTACTGATTAAGGTCTGAAACTTTGACATTTAAAATCAGCCAATTTACAGAAACTTGAATGCAAATATACAGATTGAATTTTACTACTAATTAAAGGAAGACAATTGCAAACTTATCAGAACATCACTTTAGGGATTTTTTTTTAAGAGGACAGGAAAAAAAGAGTAAAGAAAGAAAAGTGCCTCTTTGGTTTAGAAGTTTCAGAGGGGTAGCAGTGCTAGTCTGTAACTGAATTTTTTTAAAAATAACGAATAGTCTTGCAGCACCTTACTACTACTACTACTAAACCCTTGTACTCCAAGTGGAGCATAGGTCCCCTACAAGTCTCGTCCACTTTACTCTGTCTCGAGACAAAACTTCTAGCTGACTCCAGGAGTACCCCATTTGTCTTCCATCAATCTCAGTAGATCTTCTCCACATTATCCAAGGTCTTCCTCTTTTGCGTTTTCCTTGTGGGTTCCATGTGAGAGCTTGTTGGACTATACTGGAAGATGGTTTTCTGAGAATGTGGCCTCGCCATCCCCACTTTCTTCTCTTGATTTGAATGTCAAGGGAGGCACCTTAGAGACTAACAAAAAAAATGTAGATGGTATCATGAGCTTTCATGGGCACAATCCACTTCTTTTAGCTCCATTGTTACAGAACTGCAATCTCCCACGGGGAAGATAAGTGCATTGTTTGCACAATCACTAGGCCTTCTTAGTTTTTGAACTGTATCATGACTTATTCATTTCTTGTTCCAGACAAGAATTGAAATTAGCAAAAATTTTCTGTTCAAGCATTTATTCTAGGATCCTCCCATGCACTCTGTGGAATAACGAGTTTTAAGGTTGCAAAAAAACCAAGATGATCACGCTTCTTTAATTCATCCAAAGCAAATATTTGTGAGATCTTAACGTGGGAAAATTTTGACCGTTTGTGTGTAACAAATGACCAAAGTGTACATCTGAAGAAATGGCTTGTGCTCACGAAAGCTCATGATAACATCTACATGTTTTGTTAGTCTTTAAGGTGCTATTAGACTATTTGTTGTTTTTTAAGTTTTTCCTGATACAGACTAACTAGGCCACCCCTCTGAAGCTTCTGTGTGTAACACAATACTATCATATAAATGTATGGTTAGATCCCTCTTGGTTATAAAACCCTTCTACAATAAAATATGTTTCTGCAGGAAGAATAGAAGACACTGGCAACATTGTATTTCATACCTTTGACAATCATACAGAATATGAGGACTGCTCATGCTTTCTCTGTCCTATCTAAAAATAACTGGATTAAACAACCAATCATTGGAAGCAGATTTGAGGATCAGACATAGTCACTCCACAATAACTAGATATAAGAAATGAGGTCATGTCATACAAGGCAGACATCTGAAACTGCTTGGCTGTCAATTCCATGGGATGGATTATTAATATTCTGTTAATTCAGTGACGTTCATCTTGTGTATTGTGTACTTTTCTGAAACGCAAAAAGCTAAAAATGGTGACTAGCTTCTTACTTTGCCCTTGTGTGTTTCCTGGAGCCACTGTCGAAGCCGAATGAGGCAGCTTTCCTGCAATGGTGTCAAGTCACCCAGATACCGCTTTATGTAGTCTGCATCAAGTTTGTCTGAAATGGTATTTACACATTGTTACAGCAATTATTAATTACTAGGTCAATTATTTGATATGGAAGAACCCATGTTCTTATTTTCAGTCAACATGGCTCATACTTGTCAGCTTTAATTACATTCAATTGAATTAAAATGATAATTTCTGAATTGTTGAGTTTAAGAAAAAATAAATGAACACCTTAGCTAATATCTTACAAGTGAGTTGCCTTTCCTCTGCGCTTGGCATTCATCCAAGATTTTGCTATACTCGGAATATGACCAAAATGGTAATTGAATTAGTTTCTTGTAATCTCTGAAGGTCAGACTTTTTCCTTTGGTATAATCTAGGGATGTTAAATTTAGGTTACTTTGATAGAATTTTTATCGACTACTTGATTACTCAATAGCGGAAGACAGCCCCGTTCAGTCCTGACTCATGCTGGGACCAAACCCCACTGCAGCTCTAGAATTTAAAAGGCATTAGGAGCCGAGGCGCCTGCTTCCCCCCACCCCTCCACCCCACTCCTAATACCTTTTAAATTGCAGAGCCGCAGCTTTTGTCCCTGACCTAGAGCGAGCAGGGACTGAACCAGGCTGCCTGCCAGCCCAACTCCTAAATTTAGTAGGAGCTGGGTGGGCAGGCAGTACAGCTCAGTCCCTGCTCACGCTGGGTCAGTGACCAAAGCTGCAGATCTGAAATTTAAAATGCAGTAGGAGCCAGGGCACAGGCTGCCTTTTAAATTGCAGAGCTGCAGTGGGGTTTGGTCCCAGCACAAGCCAGGACTGAGAGGGGCTAATTGCCCAGATGGCAGTAGCCCAACGGGGGGTAGATGGAGAGGAGCAGAGACAATGCTGAGGGGAAACTGATTCCTCCCCCCACACCCTTACTGCCTTTGATATAGAGGCAGCAAAGGATGGGTGGGGAGGAGAATACAAGTTGTCGACTAATCCACTACTCTCTGTGCATTATCATTGAATATACAGGAGCATGGCGGAAAGGGATCTAGGGGTCATAGTGGACCACAAGTTGAATATGAGTCAACAGTGTGATGCTGTTGCAAAAAAAGCAAATATGATTCTAGGTTGTATTAACAGGTGTGTTGTAAGCAAAACTCGTGAAGTCATTCTGCCGCTCTACTCTGCGCTAGTTAGGCCTCAGCTGGAGTACTGTGTCCAGTTCTGGGCGCCACATTTCAAGAAAGATGTGGAGAAATTGGAAAGGGTACAGAGAAGAGCGACAAGAATGATTAAAGGTCTAGAGAAGCCTATGAAGCCAGGCTTCATGAACTGGGCTTGTTTAGTTTGGAAAAAAGAAGATTAAGGGGGGACATGATAGTGGTTTTCAAATATCTAAAAGGGTGTCACAAGGAGGAAGGAGAAAATTTGTTCCTCTTGGTTTCTGAGGACAGGACATGGAGTAATGGGCTTAAAGTGCAGCAGGGGAGGTTTAGATTGGACATTAGGAAAACATTCCTAACTGTCAGGGTGGTCAAATATTGGAATAAATTGCCAAGGGAGGTGGTGGAATCTCCCTCTCTGGAGATATTTAAGAACAGGTTAGATAGACATCTGTCAGGGATGGTGTAGACGGAGCTTGATCCTGCCTTGAGGGCGGGGGGCTGGACTCGATGACCTCTCGAGGTCCCTTCCAGTCCTATGATTCTATGATTCTATGAAAAGCATCCGTGCCATTGAGCTTTCTTGCACAAGAATACTTGTGCAAGAGGGCTTATCCCTGAGTGGGAGCGGCGGAGTATTTGCGCAAGAACCACTGATTTTGTACAGTACAAAGTCAGTGTTCTTGCGCAAATACTCGCGGCCAGTGTAGACAGGCAGCAAGATTTTGCGCAAAAGCATTTGCTTTTGCACAAAATCTTCCCAGCTGAGATGTAATAGAATTAAATTTAAGTGAACATGTAGATGGAGTATATGAATATTCTCCATCCACAGTTAAGGAAGAATTGAAACTACACATTAGGAAGAATTAAGTATTTTCCAGATACATTTGGAATTTAGTTTTGTTGGTTTTTTTAGCATAGTCAAAGAACAGAGGGGCCCTCTTCTGTTGGAAATGCTAACAAACTGTGATTTTGGTCTCTAATCTATTGACGGTGAAAAGCTCCCAGTTTTGGTTCTGGAGGGCTAACCATTTGCAAGATAATAGGCTGACTTTTGCAGAGCTCTCTGCTTTCTTCCCTGGGAATCTAAACTATTGCTCTCCACTGGTCTTCAGTGTGATTTTTTTCTTTTTTTTTAATGCTGGCCATTACTTAATCACAGAGTCAGCTACCAACACACTTACCCAGGTTCCAGATAGACATTAAATGTGGTAAGTGTGTGTGTATGTGAGGATTCCCAGAACTGGTCAGCACCAACATGAGTACAGGTTGGAGCTCCATGGTCCAGCACTCTCAGGACCTGAGTGGTCCCAAAGAAGGTAGTTTGCTGGACCATGGGAGGTCAGGCATAGGGTTCTCCCGGGGCTTCCCTCCAGACCACAGCCCGACCAATGTACTGCCCCCAGATGGTTGTGGGGCTTCACTCCCAGCTGCTGCATCACTCTGGCCAGCGGGGTTCCCTGCCTCAGGCTGCCGGCGCCAGCTTTGCTTCCCTGGATAACAGAGACTTCCCTATCCCCAGCCAGCGAGGGCTTCCCAGCCAGTGGAGGCTTTGTGCCTCCAGCTGCAGGAGCTCCTTTCCCCCAGCTGGCAGTGGATCCATGCCTCCAGCCAGCAGGGAGGCTCTTTTTCCTTGCTGGTGGAGCTTTTCTCTTGGTTGACAGGGGTCCTTGTCTGGTCCTGCCCCGGCTGCTGGCTAGGCTTCCTGCCCCCAGGCCATTGGCCCTCCAGACTGCCTACTGGCTGAGCTCCCAGCCACTCACAACCTGTGGCCGAGGATCTTTGATCAAGCAACATCCTGGGTCCAGCAGGACCAGAGTACTGGATCACAGAGGTCAACCTGTACTAATGAAACAGAGACTAATATGAGGGTCTTCAAAGAAGCAGAGCTTCTTTCTACAAGCATTTCAAATAAACCAACTAAAAATGAGAATTCAAACAGTCCACAGAGGAGATGCCAAATATACCATCAGGTGTTCCTGCTGTGGGGTCTGATGGGCTGCTGGAGGTGTTGAGCACTTCCTTATTGTTTTGTCCCTCCTTGATGGCAGTATCTGGTACGCTGATAACAGGAGAACTTGGCTGTGCAATGTGGAATGTGCTGTTTTCTAATTTATACATAACAGGAATCGTCCAACGAGGAACAAATGTTATCCCTTCTTCTTCCATCTGCTTCAGGTAATATTCTATTATTTCCTTCCCCTTTGAAACAAAATTATGTTTTAGCCAATAAAATGTCTTAGATAAAAACAGGACTTGTTTAGAAATGCAATAAAAGGCATCCCAAAAGAGAACCCACAGATCTCTTTCTACACACTCTTCACAATATCCTGCACTACAAGCACAATTAATCTGTTAAGAGACAACAGCTACGTTTTTAGCGTTTAAATCTAACTAGTCAGACATCTACATCGTGCCCATGTGCTCACCTTTTTTATATTGCTTGTGTATTGTTTCATGGCAATCTTTTCCACTGTGCTTTCAAAGCCAAAGAAAGACTTGATATCTAGGCTTGCTGACTGTTCAAAACAGGTCCAGTCTTCATTATCCGGGTGAACCTATTGGTGGAGGACAGCAGAGTCCACATGGTTTGGTTACTCTTTGCACAAGGTACACTTTCTCATATAAATACTTGGATAGTCAAAGTTCCATATTTAAGCATGTCAACTGTCATCTAAATGGAATTTGAAACCTCTGGTCCCATTTGCAAAATCCAGATTGAAAAAGGTAAAAGTTAGTCAACAACAAAAAGAAAAGAGAAAGCCTTCATATGGGCTCTATAAAACCCATCATGGCATATTTTCTCTTAACAATAACTAGGTGGAAAAAACCCTGTCCTTCAACCCGCTTGGATTATTTACTGCAGATAAAACTGCAACACATTAGCACCACTTACTACCAAGGAAGTTGCATAATCTTTTCTGGATAAAAAAGAGTTTGTACTTGGTCCTTCTGTGTAAATGCTACAGAAAAGAGTATAACCTCTACGGGGGTTGCCAGTCAGAATGAGTCAGAGTTTACACCGAGCAGAATGCCTTTTCCTCCCCCGTCTTTCAAACTTCAAAGACGTTCCTGATTGTCCTCTCTTCTTTCATCATAAATTTTTGGTTTGGGTAACAGGGATGTTAAAAGGTATTTAATTAACCGGGTCACCATCTGTCCCCGTCCCTCCGCACTGCTGCCTCTAACACAGGGGCAGCAGCGCAGAGGAGGCATGGCAGCAGCCCACGAGCTGGTGTGCATGGTGAGTAGGCTTTTAAACCGGCTCCCTGCACATACCCGGCTCTTAAGCCAGCTCCCTGCATATACTGGCTCCTGCCTGCCTGTCCCCCGATACAGAGGCAGCAGCGTGGGAGTGGGGTAGGTGGCTCCCTGCGCATATCAGGAGCTTGCATGTAACCATGAAGGATAACCAATGAGCCCAGGCTCATCAGTTAACCATGTACATGGCTATTTTTTCACATCTCTATTGGGTAATATTCCATGCTTGCAAGAGGAAAGACCTATAAAGATCATTTAGTTTAACCCTGGCTGAACTAAAGGTTATTCCAGAGGAAGGTTATTCCAGCACTTAATCCAGTTTAATGCTTAATGTTTCAAACAATGGAGGTTCCAACTCTTCCTTTGGAAGATATTCCACAGTATAATAGGTTTCATAATGATTTGGCTATAAAATTGTGTTCTCTCTCATGTTCATAAAATAAGAAATCTGATGTTAAATAGCTTGGGCATCCCATACAAACATAAAACATGCTAATAAGAAGCACAGAAGCATGCTGAAAGTATGCTTTATTTACACAGCTAAATCAATCTAACTGATTTTTAAAGAGACATGTTATCTTAAAATAGGGCTGTCAAACAATTAAAAAATGTAATTAATCATGTGATTAAAATTTAATCATGCTTAATTGCACTGTTAAACCATTATAAAATAAGATTTATTAAAATATTTTGGATGTTTTCTACTAGGGATGTGAAGATTTAACCAGTTAACCGATAAGTCTCACCCTTACCAGGTGAGGGTTACCAGTTAAGGTTATCTGGAGCACTCCCTGCTGGAGGTGGGCCTAGGCACCCTGCAGGCAAGGGCTGCTCCAACCAGGATGCTATGACCACCTCCACACTTGCTGTTAGCTAATTAAACAGCATACTATAAATAGTATTTTCAATTCAACTAATAAAAGTATTGCAGCACAATCTCTATCATGAAAAGTGAACTTACAAATATAGAATTATGGACAAAAATAACCTCATTCAAAAATAAAACAATGTAAAACAAATATATTGGAAACAAAAGGAAGACCAAGGACAGAGTCAGCCTATTGCTCAGTGAAGAGAGGAAAAAACAATACAGAAAATGTGGAAATGGCAGAGTGTTTAATGACTTATTTATTTCGGTTTTCACTAAAAAGGCGGTGGTGATGCCTAAAATAGTGAATGCTGGAGAAAGGGAGGTAGGTTCAACAGTTAAAATAGAAAAAGAACAAGTTAAAAGTTACTCAGAAAAGTTAGATGTCTTCAAGACTCTAAGGCCCGATGAAATGCATTCTAGAATGCTCAAGAAGCTGTTTGAGGAGGTGCCTGCTCTTTGAAAAATCATGAAAGACGGGAGAGATTCTGGAAGACTGGAAAAGGGTAAACATAGTGCCCATCGATAAAAAGGGAAATAAGAACAACCCAGGATACTACAAAGCAGTCAGTTTAACTTTTGTGCCAGGAAGGAATGGAGCAAATAATTAAGGAATCCATCTACAAACATCTAGAGGATAAGAAGGTGATTAGTAATCATCAGCATGTATTTGTCAAGAACAAATCATGTCAAAACAACCTGACAGCCTTATGGAAATGAGGGAAGTGATAGATATAGTATACCTAGACTCTAGTAAAGCATTTGATATGGTCTCACATGACCGTGTAACAGATAAACTAGGGAAATATAACCTAGGTGGGGCTACTATAAGGTGGGTGCATAAATGGTTGGATAACCGTTCTCAGAGAGTTATCAATGGTTCACAGTCATGCAATAAGGGCATCACAAGTGGAGTTCCACAGAGAACAGTTTTGGGATTTGTTCTGTTCAATATCTTAATCTACAATTTAGATGATGGCATAGAAAGACCATTTATAAAGTCTGCAGATGATGCCAAGCTGGGAGAGGTTGCAAATGTTTTGGAAAATAGGGTCATAATTCAAAATGATCTGGACAAACTGGAGAAATGGTCTGAGGTAAAAAGCATAAATGTATTCAACAAGGATAAATTCAAAGTATTCCACTTTAGGAAGGAATAGTTTCACACATACAATGTGACTATTTAGGAAGGAAAACTGCTGTGTTGCAGGGCACTATTTGAATCATGGCAGGTGGATTGGCGCAAGCCCACAGATACCCGATTTCATGGATGACAGAGGACCACATCTTGGGGATATGTTATCCGAGAGCCAGCAGAAGCATGCTTGGTGTCTTGTGGAAGCATTCCAGAAAACCATGACAACATGCTCTGGCTGGATTCCGGTGGTGTCCCATACCATCCAGATCATTTCAGGCCAGGTGGTCCGGGAAAGTAATTGCCCCCTCCCATGACACAGGAGGGAAGTAGTTGAGCAAGAAGTAGAAACAATAGTGGAGCTCAGGGTAATCAAATGTTCACAGAGCCCCTGGTGCTTGTGCTGAAGCCAGATGGGAGCATCCAGTTCTGCATAGACTTCTGGAAAGAGAACACCATCTCCAAATTCAATGTATATCCAATGCCTCAAACGGAAGAACTTCTAGAGTGCCTGAGGACTGACCATTTTATCATAATCCTTGATCTCACAAAGGGTTACTGGTAGATTCCCCTGAATCCAGGGTCGTGGGAGAAGACAGTGTTTATTACCCCCTCGGGACTATTCCAATTTGTCAGGATGCCCTTTGGCTGTCATGGGGCTCCCGCAACCTTCCAGCGGATGATGGATCATCTGCTTTCTGCCCACATGGAATATGCTGCAGCCTACATTAATGATGTAATTTATTTATAGCTGGAATTGGGAAGAACATTTATTACAAGTAGCAGTGGTCCTGCGGACCTTCCAAGATGCAGGCCTCACAGCCAATCCGAAAAAGTGCCAGACTGGATGGCAAGAGACCACGTATCTAGGCTACCATTTGGAATAGCGCCTCATCTGTCCCCTGGTGGGGAAAGTTGAAGCCATCCAGATGTATCCAGTACCCACCACTAAGAGGAAGAGGTGTGGCAGTTCCTACAACTAGCCAGGTACCTGCAGTTTGCAGCTATCACTGCTCCCTCTCATTGCTCTCCTCGCCAAATATAACCCACAAAGGTTATATCTGATGGTCGATGGAGTGCAAGATAGCATTCCAGACCCTCAAGAATGCCTTATGTAGGGAGCCTGTCCTATTTAGCTCCAACTTTGACTGGCCTTTATGGTCCATACAAATGCCTCAGACATGGGGTTAGGAGTGGTGCTCTCACAAGAGATAGATGGGGAAGAACACCCCCATTCTCTACATTAGCCGGGAGTTGTTTCCCCAAGAGCAGAAGTACTTGGTTATTGAGAAAGAGACTTTGGCCATAAAATGGAGCATCAAGGCACTGTGCTACTATCTCCTTGGAGACACTTTTATTTTGATCACAGACCATGCCCCTCTAAAGTGACTACATAACATGAGGAACACAAATGCCTGTATAATGAGATGGTACCTGACCCTGCAACAATATGTCTTCACCATCCAGCACAGGTCGGGAAAGAAGAATGCCAACGTGGACACTCTGTCCTACCTAGGGTAAGATCATGGAGCCAGTCCCCAACACCCAGTGAACCTGCTGGAGAACCAAGTATGCACAGAGGGAGAGAACAGAAGTGATCCAGGGATAGCTGACCACAGTTTGGCTGAGCCAGAGCTGGGATCAGCATGTTGCGATCTGGATCCCTGCTGACTGAGCAGCAGACCATTCTGCTGTTGTTAGGGCCTTGGGCTGAGACGCAGTGGAGTGGGCGGTTCTGCGTCCCCCAGCCACCCAAGTGTCAGTCTTCTCTCTCCCCCACTTCAGGCCAACTATCTGAGATTGCTGGATCTTTGCCCAAGCAAGGATTCCCGACTATTTGCTTGCTTTGCTGCTCCATCCTGACCCAGGGCCTGGGCCACTGGATTCTGATGGTTTGTTTGCTTTGCTGCCCCGCCCTGAGCCAGAGCTCGGGCCTTACTATTCACTTGCTGCCTGCCTTGAACCAGAGCTCGGGCTATTGATTGTTTGTTGCTGTACCGTCTTGAATCAGGACCTGGGCATCTAACTACCTGAACTGCTTTATTACCCCACTGAACTGAGCTGATCATCGGCATGAGACCCAGGACTTAAAGGTGCTCCTTGGACTGAGGTGCAGTAGCCGCCCACTGATGCAGAAGGGGAGGAGCCCCTCTGTGAGCCCTGACTAATGACTTTTACATGCTGAAAGAGATAAAAAGTTTTATTATCATTTTGGGCTGAATTAAAAGGAGTATTGCAATCAAGAAACAAGTAATAATTCTTCCACTCTAAAGTATGCTGATTAGGCCTCAACTGGAGAATTGTGTTTCTTCAGGAAAGATGTGAAGAAATTGGAGAAGTTCCAGAGAGGAGCAACAAAAATTATTAAAAGTCTAGAAAACATAATCTGTGAGTGATGACTGAAAGAACTGGGGTTGTTTAGCTACAAAAGAGAAGACTCAGAAGGGGCATGATAATAGCTTTCAAATACCTAAATGGATGTTACAAGGAGGAGCTGTTATTTTCCTTAACCACTGAGGATAGGATAAAAAAGCAATGGGCTTAAATTGCAGCAAAGGAAGTTTAGGTTGGACATTAGGAAAAACTTCTTAACTGTAAGCTGGTTAAGCGCTGGAATAATTTGCCTAGGGAGGGTGTGGAATCTCCATCACCTGGGGATTTTTAAGAGCAGGCTAAATAAACTTCTGTCAGGGGCGAACTAGACGGTGTTTGATCCTGCCGTGAGTGCAGAGGATTGGACTTGATGACCTCTTGAGATCTCTTTCTGTTCTAGTATTCTATGAAAAAAATTTAGAGACTAAAAGTCCGCTCAGTCCAGTTTCTTGTTCAGCCAATTAAGTTTTTTTTTTTACATTTGCAGGAGATAATGCTGCCCGCTTCTTGTTTACAATGTTACCTTACAAGTCAGAAAAAGTGTTTGCATGGAACTGTTGTAGCTGGCGTCGCAAGATATTTTACATGCCAGATGCACTGAAGATTCTTATGTCCCTTCAGGATTTAACCACCTCTTGCAGATGATGGGTTCTGCTCTGTAACAATCCAAAGTAGTGCAGACCAATACATGTTCATTTTCATTATCTGAGTCAGATGCCAGCAGAAAAGTTGATTTTATTTTTTTGGCAGTTTGGGATTTGGTTTGGAGTTTGTTGTTTCTGCATGGGAGTGTTTCTCTTTAAAGATTTCTAGAAGCATGCTTCACACCTTGTCCCTCAAATTTTGGAAGGCATTTCAGATTCTTAAACCTTGGGTTCAGTGCTATAGCTATCTTTAAAAAGCTTTTATCAGTACTCTCTTTGCATTCTGTCAATCTGCAATGAAAGTGAAGCATGTCCTCTAGAATGGTGGCTGGACCATGCAGGGGTATACGGATGTTTAAGAATACCTGACATCTAAAAGGTTTGCAATACCAGCTACAAAAGTCCCATACAAATACCTATTCCTGCGACACTGTAAAGAAATAAGAAGTGGGCAGCATTATCTCCTCTAAACAAATTATTTTGTTTTAGCAATTGACTGAGTGCAAAGATTTGTAATAAAAAATAAAGTGTGAAGCATACACTTTGTATTCTGTGTTGTAACAAAAATTACTATATTATAAAATGTAGAAAACTATCCAAAATATTTATTAAATTTCAATTGATATTCTTTTGTTGACAGTGTGATAAAAACTGTGAATAATCACAATTAATTTATTTTAGTTAATCATATGCATTAATTGTGATTAATCCACAGCCCTACTTAAAAGGGATTTGTTTTAAATGTGCTATTACAGCAAACCCTCGCCATTCGTGGTGGATGCATTCCTGGCACCACCGCAAATGGCGAAATCCATGAATACTGGAAGCAGTGGCTCCTGGCTGCAACGGTGAGCTCACCGTGGCTCCCATCCCCGAGATGAGCTCCCTGCAGCTCCCAAACTCACCATGGCTGTCAGCAACCGCAGGGGCAGGAGTCACGGTGAGCTCCTAGAATCTTCCAGCTGCCACTGTCAATGTGGGGGGAGGCAACAGGCCTACCTCCCCCGGAGCTGTGTCCCCTCTTAGGCTGGGTGATGGGATGCATTGGGGGATAAGAGAGACCCGCAATATGCAAAATTGTGAAGAGCATATGTATGGACTTGAGCTTCTCATAATCAGAATCTGTCAAATGTCTGTTCTCTATAATGTGGGAATATGTCCAACCGACAGGAAACCAAATCTGCATCAGGGTTTTCAAATGCTGATTACTTTTAACACTAGCAGCAGTGCCCATAGCACAGGCACAATAATAATGCTGATTTTTAGGAGGAGCCAAAAATAATCCATCTTCTGGTTATTAGTGCTGAATGTCAATGCCAACCAGACCCAATCTATAGAACTGTTAGATTTTCTCTGTTACTCACTGTGTAACAGCAGTGCTCATTAATGATGACTCTGTTAGAAAAGGTTTCATTGTAGGCCTCTATGTGCAAAGTTCGATCTTGTCTGTTCAAGGAGTTCTTCTGGACAAAGTAAACATAATCTACTCCTGCAATCTGAGAAAGATTACCACAGATTTTGTTAAAGATTTCAATTTTTGTGGGTTGGTATAAAAAATAATTATAAAAACCATTTTAAAATTATTTAGTTACCCTTTTCAATAATCGTGGTGCATCTATATCCAGTTTACAACGCCTTTCGATCACATGAATAGCTCCATCTTCACTCTTGAATTCATTCACAATATCACTAGCTACAAACATTGGGATTAGAGGACATGTGGGAAATCTTCTTTCATATGCCTACAAAGATAGAAAGGAAGAAAGAACAAAAGCTTAATCAAGAATAATTCTACGGACTGTACAAATTCTGTTACTCCTGCAAGCTTTTTCTTTGGACACTGCTGTGTTTACAAATGCCGGTCAGCCATCATACTGATTTCATTCTTTTGGTAAGAACAGCAGGAGTCTTTCATCTCCACTTTTTTGCAATTACTACCAGAGCTGGCACTGCCAAGAAACAGATTGGTTTCAAGACAGCAAGTTTCATAGCATATCAAGTATTAGAGCGTTTCATGTATTGTTCTGCTTGCAATGCATGGTAAATTTTGACTTACACAGAACACAGGAAGCATTTTTTTCAGGGAAGAGGATGACAATGAGCATTGATCGCTCTTCCTTTAGCAATAGGAACATCAAGTCTTTACGAGACTCTGTTATCATAAGAATACCTGAACACTTTCCATATCAGCATATTTACATACCTATTTAACTTTTGCTAATCTTGCAAGTTTGGGCTGGCCAGGAGTTTATTTTACAAGATAAATAATACACCCTCCAGGTTCAGAAGGGTGCCTTTTAAACAAGGAAACACTTTGCACAGATGCTTTCAATTTACATTTTTGTTGCTGAGATGAAGCTTCTTCGACCTTACTCCCTATGCAATTTTTAACTATTTTAAAAGTATACTTTAGATAGTTTTCCTTCCTCCCATATCCCTATTTTCAGATTGTTGACTTCCATTTCCATTTGAGTCGAAGTGTAGCTGTCTTCCAAGGCCCACCTATTTACCAATGTGCTCTTGCTAGAAGACCAGAGACAAGGAAACACTAATATAAAGAAAGAAAACAGGAAAGAAATATTATGACTTATTTTTGGCTTACACAAAGGGATATGTCAAGCCTTCTGCTATTGCAAATATTTTCCAAAGAAAGTTTCTCTAACTGAATGAGTGGCTCAACTCACAGCACACTTGCGACCCTATCAAAAACACTTGAGGACCATGTGACATCCTCAGGGCAATACAGTAGTACACATATCAGCTGTGTCTACACTGGCATGAATTTCCGGAACTGCTTAAAATGGAATACTATTCCGTTTTCAGTTTTTCCGGAAAAGGAGCGTCTACATTGGCAGGCTGCTTTTCCAGAAAAGCCCTTTTTCCAGAAAAGCATCTGTGGCCAATGTAGACATGCTTTTCCGGAAAAGACTACTGGGCTGTCTACACTGGCCCTTTTCCGGAACAGTGTTCCGGAATAAGGACTTATGCCTGAGCAGGAGCAGAATGGTTTTTCCGGAATAGCGGCTGATTTTATACAGTAGAGCATCGTTGCTATTCCGGAAATTCAGGGGCCAGTGTAGACAGCTCGCAGCTTATTCCGGAAAAGCGGCTGATTTTCCGGAATAAGTGGCCCAGTGTAGACACAGCCATCGTGTAAATGGGTACCATCACAATGGTAAATGGGTTACCATGCCTTAACAAGTCATTACCCTTATCTACTTGAGCCTGTTACACCTTTGTACAGAAGACCCTGTACATTTTAGTTAGCTGTGAGTCTTTGCTTTTGCCAAACAATTGTTTTTTGTAATTGGTCATTAGTGTTACTCAGTTATAAGCGGGGCTGAATGCTGCCCAATACCAAGAAGAGTAAATAGCCTTCAAAATAAGTTGATAAACATTTACCATCTTTTTGTATTGCTTCTTTCATAAATTCCCTGTTACATTATTGTAAATTGCAAATTTATACAGAAAACTATTTTTCTACTGTTTCATCTCTTCAGTTTATTTTAAATCTATTATGTTCCACTAATTAGGTTTAAAGCACTTTTACTTCTGGGCCTCTTTGCTGCATCATGTTAATTTCTGACTTCATCCCTTAAGGCAACCTTTCTTTCCTTTTGCATTGTGTGTTCAACACCAGAAAATTTCAGTATTATTTGCTTTGATGTTCCAAAGTTTTACTGAATGGCAAGCAAAGAGATTCGCTGATGAGTATTTGTTCTACTTCTACTGAAAATGAAGACTGAACTAAATGACTTTATTCAATTTGGAAAGGAACAAAATAATCAGTTCCTGGAGTTGGCAAGCTGAGTGCTAACAAGAACAGAACACTCACAGGCTTCAGACAGATTAACAGTAACAAAGGATACTTTCTTTTGTAAGGAATGTACAGACACACTACTACGGATTGTTCTTAGTCATTTTTGTTTATAGAATCATAAAATCATAGGGCTGGAAGAGACCTCAGGAGGTCATTGAGTCCAACCTCCCGCCCAAAGCAGGACCAATTCCAACTAAATCATCCCAGCCAGGGATTTGTCAAGCCAAGACTTAAAAACCTCTAGGGATGGAGATTCCAGCACCTCCCTAGGTAACGTATTCCAGTGCTTCATCACCCTCCTAGTAAGATACTATTTCCTATATCCAAACTAGACCTCCCCCACTGTAACTTGAGACCATTGTTCCTTGTTCTGCCATCTGAGAACAGCCTCTCTCCATCCTCTTTGGAACCTCCCTTCAGGAAGCTGAAGGCTGCTATCACATTCCCCCTCACTCTTCTCTTCTGCAGACTAAATAAGCCGAAATCCCTCAGCCTCTCCTCACAGGTCATGTGCTCCAGCCCCCTAATCATTTTGGTTGTCCTCCGCTGGACACTCTCCAATGCGTCCACATCCTTTCTGTAGTGGGGGACCCAGAACTGGATGCAATACTCCAGATGTGGCCTCACCAGTGCTACATAAATGGGAACAATCACTTCTCTAGATCTGCTGGCAATACTCCTTCTAATGCAACCTAATATTCCCTTCGCCTTCTTGGCTACAAGGGCACACTGTTGACTCATATCCAGCTTCTCACCCACTGTAATCCCCAGGTCCTTTTCTGCCGAACTCCTACTTAGCCAATTGGCCCCCAGCCTGTAACAATGCTTGGGATTCTTCTGTGAACCTCATCAGATTCCTTTTGGGCCAATCCTCTATTCTGTCTAGGTCACTCTGTACCCTATCCCTGCCCTCCAATGTATCTACCTCTCCCCCTAGCTTAGTATCATCCACAAACATGCTGAGAGTGCAATCCATCCCTTCATCCATTAATAAAGATGTTGAACAAAACTGGCCCTAGAACTGATCCTTGGGGCACTCTACTTGAAACCGACTGTCAACCCGACCGCCAACCTGATGTTGAGCCGTTGATCACTACCATTGGGCCCGACAATCTAGCCAGCTTTCTATTTTCCTTGCAGTCCATTTATCCATTTAGGGTATTTTCATTGCTTTAAATTATATACAACATCCAATGTATTTCTTTAATACAGGGCTATTCAACTTTTGAAGCCCTGGGGGCCACAATTATACTCACAACACATGCCAAGGGCCGCAACTTAATTATAGTTACACAGACATGCAAATATATGCAAATAGAGTCTTTCACACTTATCTCCATTTCTATTTATCTCTGCAAAAGTGAATTCCATCTCCCAAACAGGTTTGACAACCTGGTGTTCATCCAACAGACATCTCTTCTTTGTTGCCATTTTTAATGCTTCTTATTCAAAAGAAAATTGTATACCAGTGTTTTGGGTGTTTAGCTTGAAGCTTCAAGTTGTACATTTTTTGGAGTGATTTTACTGTAAAAAGAAAAGTTTCCAAGCCAGAGAGCTCCAACCAGTGGCAGTTGGGGAGCTGGGTGAGTCAGGCCAGACACAAGAGGCAAAAAAGGACAGGGGCCTGTGAGCCTCATCCTGGATTCCCACAGGGCTGATGTCCTCACTCGGGAGTCCATCGGTCCATGAGGGACGGAGGCAGGGCTGCCCAGCCATGGCGCTGGACCCAAACATGGCCAGTGTGAGCCAGTCATCACCTCTATCACCTCTGAGGCACTGCCCGCAAGACTAAGCAGCCAGCACTTCACTTCGCACAATGCCCTGGCGCTCCTAGCACCTGCTCCCTATGGGCTAGAAACACTGACATCCTGTATCCTTCTGTTCCAGCCAGCCTGTCCACTTGTGTCTTTCAATGCTCATTCCACCTGGGAGACACCTTGCTATTGTGGCGCATGTTCCCAGTGGAGACCATGTTCAAAGGTCTCACCCGCGGACTGCATGTTGAGCCTCACGTAAACGCAAATGACATCGCAGGCTGCAAACAAATGGGCCGTGTGCCGCGTGTTGAGTAGTCCTTCTGTATTACATGGCAACAACACAGCCCTCTCTTAGGAACAAAGTATTAATTGGCAAACCACACAAAATATTTAATATTACAGGCAGTCCCCGGGTTACGTACAAGATAGGGACTGTAGGTTTGTTCTTAAGTTGAATCTGTATGTAAGTCGGAACTGGCGTCCAGATTCAGCCGCTGCTGAAACTGATCAGTTTCAACAGTGGCTGAATCTGGACGCCAGTTCTGACTTACATACAGATTCAACTTAAGAACCCCAGGCATCCCCAAGTCAGCTGCTGCTGAAACTGATCAGCGGCTGATTCCAGGAAGCCCCGGGCAGGGGCTTCCTGTAGTCAGCCACTGGTCAGTTTCAGCAGTGGCTGACTTGGGACGCCTGGGGCAGAGCATAACTACATCAAAATCCAGCCAAAAGGATAATCAAAATATATGTCTGGTTAAAATAGGAGGCCAAGATTACAGAGTTTGGAAGACACAAAAAGGGAGATACCATTAGAGGAAAACAGGAGAAAATAAATAAAAAATACAGCCTTTTTACTAAAAATCTATTAGGTATAGTTTTTCCTAGTGTTTCGTGGTGATTTGAGCCAGGTTTGTGCGCATATGTTTCATTATTCTGATAAACAGAGTCAATATAAATACAGCACAAGATAGCACAGTTAAGTTACACCTATAAGGTAGAAAATTAATCTTTACTAATTAAGTTAATTGTTGCATATTTTCTTGTCAGAATTTCACTTTACAAGCCAGCCTTGTGTGGGGGATATCAGCTTTTCCCCAGGGCTGGCCTAGGCTGGAGGAAAGTGGTCAGTCACATTGGCTGCCTGTCAGCTTCTACCTGGGGGCCT